ATCTGCTTCTCAGCCCTTCTGTGACACCGTCCATTTCTGAAATCTTGTTGTTTATCTTTTGGATTTCTAATTGTTGTCTTTATAATTTCTAGTTGTGAATTTATTTTGGCATTTTATTCCTGCATTTTTTTCCTGAATTCTTCCAGTTTTTTGTCTGTATTTTCCATGATTTTGTCTATTTTTTCCTCATTTTTGTCTGCTTTTTGCTTCAGCTCGTGGAGAATTCTGAGTATTAGAGATTTGAGTTCCCTATCAGGTAGTTCTAGTGCGTTTTCTTCCACTGGAAAGTCATCTGGTGTTTTATTTTGGATGCCTACTGGAACCATCCTGTCCTGTTTTTGTAAATGTTTTGGTATTGTCTGCTGTCTTTGGGGCATTGAGTAGTTATTTTTCTTGTTTATTGATTGTAGATTTGTTTGTTTCATCCTTTTTTGTTTTATTTGGCTATGTCGGAGCAGGCAGGTTATGTGTTCTTTGTTGTTTGCTCATCTGTGGGCACGATACTGTTCACCTCCTTCTCCAATTGGCAGGGTCAGTTGCTCAGATATGGTACCGAAGGGCAGGTGTAGCTGAAGAGGAGTTACTGGGACGGGTTGTTTGTGGCACTTACTACAGCTACCACGGCGGGTCGGTAATCACTGCAGGGCAGGTTGCAGTAGGCCATGCCTGTGCTGCTTGGTGGTGTGATGTTAAGCGCACGGTGCAGATAGGCAGGATGCAGTGGGGAAATTGTTATATGTGGAGCTAAGATGGATACAGGAGAGAGGACAGAGGAACAGGAGCCAGAAACATACAGACAACCAAAAAAGAGTGCTAGGGGAGCTTGCTGTTAGATTTGATAGATGAGAGACTATGAAATGGAGAGAAACATAAAGGGGAAGAAGACAGAAAAGGAAAAAAAAAAAGAAAACAATGAATAAATAAAAATCAGAAAGGAAAAAGAACAGCAAAGTTCCCAGGGATCCCACAGGTGCAGCTATGAGGTCTGGGGAGGTTGTTCTCAGGTGTTGCAGTACAGCCTGGCTAGAAGGCATAGAGGTATTCAGTGCCAGGTATTCAGGGAGCAGAAAGAGAAGAGAGGTATAGAGAGACAAGAAACTGAATAATGAAGAAAGGGAAAAAGGGGGGAAAGAAAAAAAGAAAAAAAAACAAGAAAAACCCCTCCAAAAAAGCAAACCCCACGAAAAAAGAAATGCCCTCAGGGATCCTCTGCACATCTGCACAAGCCGAGGGGGTAGGCTCCAAGCTACGCAGCACCGCCCGGCCAGAACGGGATCCCATCTCAAGAAAAGGAAAAACTAACAAACAACCCAAAAAAATCAAACCAACAAAAGCCCCAAGATTCCACTAGTTCGGCAGCTGAGACCGGGAAGCAGCTCCACACTGGAATGGAGCTCCTCAGCCCCTCAGGAAGAAGCGAAGATGGCGCACGGAGCCAGGTATTTGAGTGAAAGGAGGGGATGGTGGTGAGAGGTAAGGAAGAAATCAAAAGAAGTGAAGTAAAAGCAACAAATGGCACTCAGTGAGCCACCGAGTGCGGGCGGTTGGAATCCAAGCGGCTGGTGCTTCCCAGACAAGAGACTGTGGCCGCGGGAAGCAGAGGAAGCCAGGTGGTGCTGAAAGAAGGGTGTGGGGTGGGAAAGCATATATTGCAAATTCCTGGAGCTCCGCAGCCCCTCAGGAAGAAGCAGAGATGGCGCGCAGAGAGCCAGGTATTTGAGCGAAAGGAGGGGGAGGTGGTGAGAGGTAAGGAAGAAATCAAAAGAAGCAGGAAAAAAGCAATACCAGCAGCCAACAAATGGCACTCAGAGAGCCGGCCAGAATGGATGGGTGGAATCCAAGCAGCCAGTGCTTCCTGGACAAGAGACTGTGGCCGCGGGAAGCCAGAGGAGGCTGAGGAAGGGTGGGGGTGGGAAAGCGTATATTGCAAATTACCAGTTGTTCTGTCTTCCGCTGGAAGCTCTGTGAAGCTGCTTTCTCATACCCCTTATTTGCTGGTCTTTGATAGGAGTCCAAGATGGTGGATCCGCACTGCGTTAGTGATAGGGGACCTCTGCAAGAATCTCTCCTCGCTGTCCGTTCTCTGTCAGTTTTCTCAGTCCACTGGTGCTTGGCTGAGTTCTTTATCTCTTCATTTGATGTTTTAGGGTTTCAGGATTGCTGTTTTATCTGTTCGGCTTAGTTTTTCAATCTTTGCTGTGGAGGGACGGCATGGTGCTTCTGCCTAGAGTGCCATGTTGCCGGAAGTCTGTCTTATGTCTTTTTAAAAAAATTATGTGTCAATTGGTTACAGCTTAACTTGTAAATAAAACCGTAAACTATTAGATATCTGCCTTTTATTTTTGATATTTGAACCATCTTTGATTAGTAATTCATAATTTATAATAGATGTAGGTTCTTTTCCCAGTTCTTTGAAAGTTAAAAATCTTAATCTCCAGCCTGGTCTTATTGTATGATTTTAAGTGGAGTGTGAAAGCAGAAGCTGATGTGAGGGAGGCTGCACAGGCCTCTCTTTGAAATAATGATACCTGGGGGAAGATGGGAGATGATTTGTACTGCAAAGCTGTCAGGTCTAATAAGAAAGTGGAAGAGGTGTGAACCATTGTGCTCATTTTCCTTTAAGATGGGAGTTACAAACTCACAACCCACACGGCTGCTTGAATGGGTGAAGTGGGCCGGATGGAAGAATGTGGGAGGGAAATGAAGCCACATGCCCACGTAAGGGGCGGGGAGGGGGAGCGTCCGTTGTTGCGGTGCTGGCAATGTAGGCCTGTCGTCACTGGAGATGCCAGACTTGTATGTAAAATTTCTTAAAATGGCAGTAGCTAATTCAGGTTTAAGAAAAACTCAGTATGGGCCAAAGAGAGCCTCTGTACAAGTCACATAGCCTGTGTACCAGTTTGTGGGGTTTGCATTTAAGGGTTCTCTGGGAATATTTAAGCTTTGGGATAAGTCATCATTCTGGGTAATTTAGGAAAATGAAGCAATTTATTAACTACTGTTTTCAAATACTTTTTATTTTTTACGTTTGCATTTTAGTGTGGGACTATAATACCGGCAGAGTGGGAGCACCATTAGTTTGCTGTGAAATCAAGTTAAAGAACTGGGAAGAAGGTAATAATGATTTTAACCCCAAGACACTAATTTGTATAGTATTAAACTTTGAAATCTAGAGTTATGCATCATTTCCTTCCTTCTCTTTGTTCAGAATGTTAAATCACCCACAGGTACTTATTCTTGTCCTTTATTGTAGAGATGTTTTATCTAGGGCTATATGAATGCATTTATTTTGCTTTTTTCAAAGGTAGTTTGAAAGAATTAATGTTTTCATTTTATTACAAAAATGGAAGTAAGAATTAGGGAAAAAACAAAATGTCCTAAATGAATAATGGCAATAAATTATTTTTTTAGAAGCAGAATCATAAAATTTATTCTATGTAACTGAGAATTTTGACGTTTTCCTTTTTCTTTCTCATGGGGATTTCAACCCAGAATTGTCAGAAGAGAATTCACTAAAATTCCATAAAAGCCTGTTGCTTTACCATTTAAATATACACCACTTTTTAAAAAATTTATTGGCTCCTGTTCTTAGCGTGTACAAATTACGGGATATATTTTCTTGTACACAAAGTAAAGATAAAGATGTTAAGGCTTGTATATCATTTTTCAGCTGACTTTTAGCAGAATTAGTGAACAATGTTCAACATATTTTAGCTTTGAGTCATTCTGAAGTTATCTGTAAAGAGTAAATCTTCTAAATATGTAAGAGTTTGATTTTATACAGAGATTTATATTTCTCCTATTTACATGCATGACTTAATACTTGTATCAATTAGTGTAATATCTAAAAATTGCTACAGAGTCTTTTCAAAAAATTGCTTGTGTAGTATTTGTAATTACACTATAGATGGAGGATGTTAGATGTTTTAGTGTAATTTTTTTTTCTTGGAGTGGTGCTTTTTATACTTATTGTTAAGTGATTGAAATTTTGTACCTTTGTAAGCTTTGTTCATTCAGCGTGTCTGCCTTGCTTCCCTTTGGGGAATTCTATTTGTATTAAAATAAGATGTTCTTCTTTAGAAATGGATAGCTTCAAATTTTCAGATGTTGTGTATAGGGATGAAAATACTGAATTAACTCTAAATTATTTTATGTGGTTTAGGTGGATACTTTAATACTGATAAACCACACCCAAGGGGTGAAATTCTTATTGGTGGCCAAAATGTGACAATGGGATACTACAAAAATGAAGCGAAAACAAAAATCGATTTCTTTGAAGATGAAAACGGACAGAGATGGCTCTGTACTGGAGATATTGGAGAGTTTGACCCTGATGGTTGTTTAAAGATTATTGGTGAGCCAGCTAGTACTGTTTTGAATGTAAATGTTTCTGAAACGGTTTTATAAAGTTGATACTATATATAGAGAGAAGCTGTTTAATAATGTAAAACTATATGTAATGTTGGTATGGGCTATCTATCATCTCTGGATATACAAATTTTTAATAGGGACTGTATGGCATTTATAAGGCTTGACCATATTATGAGGTCTCAAAAATGGTCCATCAGCACTGGTGTTTTTAATTACTGTTGTTGTTGGGTGCTGTCATGTTGATTTTAGATAGTTCTTAAAGAGTTAAATTCTTTCCTGCCCATGTCGGGATTATTCATTTTGTGGAACGACCTGGTTATTGGGCCAGGTCTTCGCATGTCTGAACTGGGGCCTTTCTGTGAGACCGGCCTATCAGCTTAAGCACTGTCACCTGTAGGGGGCGAAAAAATACCTCCCCCTGCTTCTCCCCTTAGGTTCTTTTCTCATTTAACGGCATTTCAGTCGCAAAACCCAAACTCAGTGCCGTCGAGTTGATTGCAAGTCATAGCAACCCTATAGGACAGAGTCCAACTGCTGCATAGGGTTTCCAAGGAGCAGCTGGTGGATTTGAACTGCCGGCCTTTTGGTTAGAAGCTGAGAGCTCTTAAGCACTGTGCCACCAGGGGATGAGAGAGCCATCTCTTCTGTCAGCTCCCCATATCTAATCCATCTCCTCCTGATTGATGGTATAAAATAGGCCTCAAAATCTCTTTTCTTTCTCTGGCCCTGTTACTGTGATTGTAGGTCTGGCCTTCAGCTCTGTCACCTAGACTGTTGCAGTACATTCCTCCCTGTTGCCATGCTTGCCCCACTTCAACATACCTTGTCGTTGCCACGTGTGGATACTAAACACTGATCTCACCAGGACATTTTCTTGGCGAAAAGCCTTTTAGTGGCTCCTAGAAGTTCAGTTCAGAGTGCCTCCATTATATGACCCTTGTTCACCTCTCCACCTTCACCTCCAGCTGTTTTCCATCCTCCTTCTTCATGCTTCATGTATTTCAAGTTGACACACTTCTAGACCTCTGCCAGTGTCGTTCCACTTGGTTGTCTACCTCTCACTCTTAAGACTCAGCTCAAACCTCACTCCTAGGAAGTCTTTCTGAATCCATAGGTTAGAGAGTCTTAACACTTGGTGCTATTGAAATAATAGGTTTTTGCATCATGCAGCTCTTCAGATAAAATATGAGCCTTCAAATGGCATTGAGTATTGTATTCATTTGACTGTTATATTAATGTATATGAAGCAGAGCATACCTGAAGCCCTGATGATGTGGTCTGTTTAAGTGGAAGCAATTGTTTTTCTTTAAAAGAGAATGTATTTGATAGTACAAAACTTAGGGTCTAGTTTTATTCTGTACATTTAATTTTGTCATAACCATTATAATGAACTTAATTTGGTAACATATTATTTAGGGAATGGCCAATATTTGTATGTATTGAAGGTATTATTTGTTCGTCTTGCCCCCCCCCCCCCACTTTTGTTTGCTTTCCACAGATCGTAAAAAGGACCTTGTGAAACTTCAGGCAGGAGAGTATGTTTCTCTTGGGAAAGTAGAAGCAGCTTTGAAGAATCTCCCACTAATAGATAACATTTGTGCATATGCAAACAGGTAAGCAAGTGGAATTCATGCTACTTGTGCTAAAACAGAAGAGCCCTGGTGGTGCAGTGGTTAAAGCACTCGGCTGCCAACCAAAAAAGGTTGGCGGTTCAAACCCAGACAGCCACTGTGTGGGAGAAAGACGTGGCAGTCTGCTTCCGTAAGATTACAGCCTTAGGAAC